CTGCTGGCGCAGAACGTGCCCACGTGCAACGACCCGCTCGAGGTGTGTCTGCAGCGGCAGGTGGTGCAGGACACGGTGCAGGTGTTCCAGCACGCCGTGCCCGCCGAGGGCAAGCCCGTCACCAACCAGAAGAACTCCGGTAAGGGCGCTCGCGGCTGGGGCGAGCAGGGGCCCCCTCTGAAGCCTCTCCCTGGTGCCCCCAAGCAAAGCGTTATTTGTCCAAGGGTTGTTTCAAAAATACCTGCTTCTGAGAACCGTGGGTGTGCTACTGCATCCCAACCAGAAAGTAACGTTCAACCTCTGGTGAAAAATCACAGCCAAGCGTTTTCTGCTAGGAGTGATTCCTCATAGTTTGTAGTAAAGTGTGGAGTGACCCACAGCACCATTTCAGTGGGTTTCCAGCTTTATTTAACTTTTGTTGCAGCTGAGTTCTGACAGACCTTTCCAGAGTGCTTTATGAGAACTGAAAATGAATCTTTATAATGTTCTTATAAATTAATAACTGTCTCTAGCATTGCAATGTTTGCCTGTTTTCCTTTTCTTAAAGAATAAGATAGGAGTAGCTGGGAACTGCACATGCAGTCCAAGTTTGCTGAAGTTCTTGTTTTGATATGTGTAATGCCAACCAGAACAGCAGGCTAAAGGCTTGAGACAGAAGAATATTATAAATCAGGTGTTTAAAAACTCTGAGCATCTATGGTGCCTGTGTTTGAGTTAATTCTTTTTCCTCTGGTCCCTCAGGGAGATGTTGGATCTTCTCTTGTCTCAATGCAATGCGTCTTCCGTTCATGAAAAAGTACAATATTGAAGAGTTTGAATTCAGCCAGTCATACCTCTTTTTCTGGGATAAGGTACAGTAGCTAAGGTCGTAACTTGTGCTAGGACTGGTCATGCAGTGGGTATTGCTCTTGAGTAACTGGTAATTTCCTTTAGGCTGTTGACTCCCTTAAGAACCCAGGTGGAAAATTTTAGAAAGTTCTTTATGTGTCTACTGCAAATGAAGGAAGAGCAAAGGGCAATTTTTGGCTTGAGAAGAAAATTGTAAAGGGGTTAATGTTTTAGAATATGATTTTTTTTAAGAATTTGGAATATCTCAGATGATACTTGTAGGAGGTCCAGTGGGAAACAACACTGTAACTTTTTAATTGGGCTGTCTTTCAGCTGTACTTGTGACCTACAGATCTGGGAGCTGTGTGCTGGTTTGCCCCTCATAGGGAAATCAAGAAGACTTAGTACTTGCAGCTGAGCGAAGTTTGAGCTGGGTTTCATTACGTAACTTCTGCTTCCCATTTCCTGCCCTGTCCAAGCTCTATATAGCAATTCACTGGTGAATATTTTGTATGTAAGGATAATCCCCCAGAAAACTCTAGGGAAAATAAGAGTTTCAGTGCGTGGCTGGAATATAGTTTAATCTAGTTAGGACTATGAAAGGAATGTATGCAGGACTGAAGTAATGCGTAATGTCACACTTAAAGATTTTTACCTGTCTTTTGATTCCAGGTTGAACGTTGCTACTACTTTTTAAATGCCTTTGTGGAAACAGCGCAGAAAAAAGAACCTGTGGAAGGAAGACTGATACAATTCCTGCTTTCCAACCCCACAAATGATGGCGGGCAGTGGGATATGTTGGTCAATCTTATTGGTAAGAGAATCTGTTGCTGGAAGTGCTTCCTGACCTTGTACACTGGCTTGAGTGATGAGGACTGAAACAGATAATACAATTTTGATTTGCTTTTACAATAGCTGCTGCTCTACTAGATATGCAGTATAGGATCTTCTAGAGTGCCAGGCACTACCGAAAACTCTAAATAGAGGGTTGTGTAGGCTTCCACTGTGCTACTATTCAAAACCTGTGGAATCACTGTGATGATAAAATGCCTTTTTACCTGTAATGATACCCTTGACTATGCAGTTCCCTTAAAATATATATAATGTTATTCTCATTAAACTCAGCTTTCTGAGGTTTCTCATTTTGTATACTGCTGCTAATGACAGATTCGGAAAGACAAGTAATGGGATGTGCCTGACCATTCAGTCTTATTTTTTTTGCAATTGTCTCAATGCTGTGGCTTATATCAACGTATACAATTTTTAGTACACGTGGTAGGAAAAAAACATATTTGGAATAGGGTGCCTCTTAAGAGGCAGAAGCAATTCAGAGTTGCAGTCTTGGAAAAAAAAGATGATAAAAAGATCAGAAAGAAGAAAATGATGTGGAATGTGGCTATGCTGCCCTTAAAATACAATTTAGGATCATGTTTAGCACCGCTTGAGGAGCTACTTCAGTGTCTGAATTATAATTGCACTTGCTTTAATTTGTGTGGCAAAACAATGACACCTTTGAAGAGTAGCAAGCTACTAATGTAAGCTTGGAATCACAAAAGGAACTTGCTCATTTGAAGCCTGGGGGTCGCTTTTCTCCACATCCAGTCGTTATAAATATTTAATCAGGCCAGAGAAGACTTTAGTTGCTGCTGTTATGTCCAGAGCTTTGTGTGGTGTGATCTTTGCTTAGCAGCATAGTGTAAGAAGTGGCTGAGCTGTTGCTTTACATTTCGTAAGCTTTGAGGAGAGATGTAGCCCTGAGGGCTTTTTCCTCTTTCTATGACGAAAGGAAGACTAGGAAATTACTCAACTAACCACAGATTAGATACGTGGAATAATTCATGAGGCACGTTATTTCTGTTGTTGTTTGCTTGTTTTGTTTTTTTCTTTAGAACATATTTCATTAGTTTAATTTTAAACTAATCAGATTTTGTCCTGGTCAAAAGAGCTTCTTAACAAACACTAATAAGATTAAAACTCCTAAAGTGTCAGATTAAATAATAGCAAGTCATAAGGATCCCATCCTTTGGGACCATTGCAAAATGCAGATCAGGGAGATGAGAAACTTTTCCTTATACCTGTGGAAGAGATGATTGTTAACTCATAGCTTTGCTTTTTTCTTTTAGAAAAGTATGGTGTTGTCCCCAAGAAATACTTCCCGGAATCTCATACCACAGAGGCTACGAGAAGGATGAATGAGATCTTGAATCATAAGGTAGAACAGATTTAGGTGCTATGATTAAAGAAGGGGAAGGGATGAGAATGATTCTGCTTCAGGTGTTCATAGCCATCTTCATGTCTCTTCATTGACTAAAGTATCAAGTACATCTCAGCAATCTCACCAACTGAGTTGCTTTTATTAAAAAAGTTGTTTGAAGCCTTAGCAAAGGAGTGGGAATTATCTTGAAATGCCAAGTAGGAGAACGTGCATGTAGAAGACAGCTGCTGAAAGGCTTCAGTAGCTTGGAAATATTCCATATGATTTTAGTAGCAATTGTTCCTAATTCTCAAATCTACAAAAAGTCAGTTCTCTGAAGTGTGGCTGATAAAATACATATCCATAAAACTAGCATCTGGGGAACTGTTTCGCAATATTTCATCTACCAGTGTGGCAAGGTTTCTAGAGATTACTGCCAAATTTAATGGCTAAGATCAAAAAATAAGTCTTTTTAAAACCCCGAATGTTAAAAATCAGCTTGCAATGCACAAGGGTGTGGCTCTGTCTGAAGGAAGGTATAAGCTTGTTCACTGCATTACAGAAGTGAATTCATCTGGGAAGAAGCTAGTCTAGTCTTGGCTAGATAAAAAGGCCATTAAAAGCTTTTTTTTATTTTTTCTCCAGTGGGTTTTTTTCTTTCTAGTTCACGTGGGAATATCATAGAATCATAGAATCATAGAATCATAGAATCATAGAATCATAGAATCATAGAATCATAGAATCATAGAATGATTAGGGTTGGAAGGGACCTCTAGAGATCATCTAGTCCAACCCCCCTTAGAGATGCTCTTCTTAATGCAGCCCAGGATCCCATTGGCCTTTTTGGCCACGAGGGCACACTGCTGCCTCATGGTCAACTTGTCGTCCACCATGACACCCAGGTCTTTCTCCGCAGAGCTGCTCTCCACAAGCTCAGTCCCCAGCCTGTACTGGTGTCTGGAATATTGCTATCTGAAATCCATATTAAAAATAGAAAACATGTGCTGCAATGAGCTTAGACATTCCGGTGGTGTTAGCGTGTTTCTGTCTTGAACAGCACAAACCAGCTGGTCTTGAGGGGCCCCCACTCACCGCTGCTTGGCCTTGCGGGTGGTGATGGTAATAGGAAGCATGGGCTGTTCTTACTGCACCTCTGCATGTAGGGGGGAAACACTCCATCCTCTTTATCAACCGAGAGATGAATTATGCATTAGAATTGCAAAATAGATTTTACAGTATGAAGACAGTTTGTTCCCTGTGAGTCACGGAGGCAGTAATGCATATGGATGTTGTGGCGTCAGTTATGTTGCAGAACTGGGAGAAATCAAGCCTTAAGAAATGCTGATGGCTATAAACTTCAAACTGGTAGTTGGAAAATAGTAATTGAATTGCAACTATTAATTTTTTATTTTTGTGATGTTTTAAGTTGAATTTAAAGACTTAATTATGGTGCTCTCAAAGAATGAACATCTAACAAAGACTTTATTTTTTGAAGACATTTTGTAAAGGGTGATACAAGTGCCCAAAGCAACCACATAGGAAGTTCTGAAAAGTGGTAGTCTCACCTTTCTTAATTTTAAAATGACTTTTTCCTTAAACAGATGAGAGAATACTGTTTGCGGCTAAGAAATATGGTGACATGTGGGATAACTAATTGTGAACTTACTGCTGAAATGGACACGATGATTGAAGAGGTAAATATTTGTGTGGCTGCTTGGAGCTGGGGAGCTTGAGTGCATTTCTTCCTGGCTCTTGTTTTGCAGTTGTGGGGAGCAGACAAAACAAGGGGCTTGCCTGGCTAGAAAGGTTTGGTATGGCAGTCCACTCCGAAGTATTAAAAAAATAGTTTTCTTGAAAGAGCATATTTGATCACTTGGTGCATTCTGAGCTTTTTACTTCCAGATAAATATCCCAAATTTTAAGAATTCCAGAATTACAATAGTTCACCACCAGAAAAGATCTCCCATTTTCTGTAAGAAAGCAGCATTTTGTATCTTAACAGGTCAGAATAGTGGTCTATCAGGCTTCCATATACAAGCTGAAACTTCATTCTGATCATTTTAAGTGCCAAGTCCTATAGTAAAAGTGTCGTTGCAGAAATTCCCCACAAGAGAGCAGGAAAGAACAACAAAAAAATAACTCTGGGGTGTAAGAGGTTTGAATTCTAGCTTTGAGCTGGTAGTGGGGCGTGCAGCACAGGAAGGAGCCACAACATCTGTTTCTAGCTAGTGGGCAGGCTGGTCCCCCACAGCTGGAGGTCACTGGTTGCAATGTGACAGTGCCATGTTCTGTTTTGGTTATCCCAGGCTCCTGGTGGTTGTTCTTCCAAATAGCAAAAGCTGTTTTTGAAGTGTTGTGCTAGTCTGTTTGACCAAATGTATACCTTCCAAAAAATAAAGAAAAAGGGAAAAATCATGTGTGGGCATCTCAAGTGTATAATGGAAAGTGCTGAAGTAACTTTAATGTCTATCTTCAGATGAAGAACCAAACTTTTTCTAACGAGTCTTATTTTTTTCTGCAATCCAATAAACATCAAAAGATGTTTACTGTAATATCTGGTTAAGATCTAAGCAAAAGTTACATTGGAATAGTCCTATCAACTTTTAAGCAGAAGCTTGATTTAATGTTTGCCTTTTTTTTAAATTCTGTCTTCTGAATCCAGAAAACTGTTTGAATTGCACAGTTTTGCAGCAGAATTCCAAGTTTCCCAAGTTGGATGTTCACTTTGGCAGTGACATACAGCTCACTGCAAAATGAGCTCAGAAAAGAGATCCTGAAGTAGTCTTAAGGAATCATTAACTGATTGCAATTTTTGTATTCTGTAAGACCGCTCTTAATTCTCTGCGGTTAGTATAGTATTTCCTCTTGGAGTAGTAATAGTGGTTTGTAACCTAAGTGGATTTCCTTCCTATAAAGATCCTGGCTGGCATATCCATCTGCACTTGTTTTGTGTACTTTACAAATACTTCAGGGGTTGAGACCACTGTGTGCATGTATATAAGTGGCTCTACATCCATTTTTGTGGATGTTGAAACAGAGCTTGGGCTTTGTTGTGTTTTATTTGTGTAGCATATCTTAGTTCCCTTATGCAGGGAGGCAGTGCTCCAGCTAAAATGGGGCAGCTGCACTGGAACATGGGATTAAATATTCAATCCAGAACTGTATAAACATTCTCCTTATCAAACTAGTGCACAGAGGTCAGAAGCTGAGATCAGTGCCACGCATGTGATTTAATCTTTCTTCCCTCACTGTTTTCCTCTGTGGACTCCTCCTTATCAGGAGTGTCCCCTTTTCCCCTCCTCGCTCCTTTTGTTTTTTAACAAAAGCCACTTTATCTTTGCCTTATCTTGGCTCTAGCTGTCACTAGAGTGATACAAGTCACCTTTTAGCTTAAGTCTGTCTCTAAAGGGCATTGATAGAGGAGAGGCTTTTTAGATATCAAGGGATGGCCTGGGATGGGTGTGGTGGAAAAACAACTGGTGGAGCCATTCCCAGGCGTCACCATGTCCTCTGCTAAGGGAGACACTGGTGTCTCCATGGCTTTCCTTCCTCTGGCAGCAGCCCCTCTGCTTGCTGCTCTTCTTTTAGGCATTTTTCTGGCATGTTTTTTCCATAACCCCAAGGGGCGAGAGATGAGGCTATCTGAGGTAACTGGGGCTGTGTCCACAGCAAATGTTACCTTTTGTGCAGGCTGCACAAAGCTAAATATTGATAGCAGTTTAGGAATTTACATTTGCTCTTTAACATTGATTAATGATAAAAAAGTGCAAATTCCTCCAGCAAAAATATAATCTTGCACCCTTGTTTCAACCCATAATTAATCTCGTGTTTTGTTTTCCTTAAACTACTTGGACCAAGAACACCCTTAGTTGCATCCTGTACACAGCCAAATACTGAGCCTTAGTTGGCATGAAGTTTTAGTTCTTTTTTTTGCTGCATGTGAAGTGTTTAAACAGTAAGGCTAGTAACCCACTAGTAAGCTAGTGGTTCTTACAGAACCTCCAGAGAAGAAGCTTCTTGTGGAACAAGTTGAACTGATGTATGTGGATGTATATGGACCTGAAGCAGGTCAGCTCTGGGAAGGGTATTAAGTCTCCTCTGTTGTGGAAACTTAGTGAGTGTGAGAAGACAGCCCAGGAATGTTAACACAAACCACAGGCGTTGGGTCACAGTACAGAAGGGGTAGGTGCAGGTTAGATTAGTGTTTTTTTTTTTTTTCCCTTTGATTTCAAATAAACTAGAGGTTCATTGCAAGGAAAGGACTTCTTATGCTCAAGGCATACAGAATGACTGAAGTAGACTGGTTTCAGCTAAAGTAAAAACAATTCAAACCTACTCACATATGGCTGGATTTTCTCTTTGTTCCTATACTTGTTTTAATAGGTCCTGCTAAGTGTTCAAGGTATTCATCTGGTTATGTTACCTACAACTTGGCACATTTTATGCCAAGGCCAGTGAGAAAGAACCATGGGTTATTCCTAAACACCATTTGAAACATCTATAGGGAACCTGTTATCTCAAAACCTAGTGAAGACTTTTTATGATTAAAATCAATAGAAAGATGTCAGCTGCAAAGGATGTCCCAGGAAGCAGAGCTCTTCAGTTAAATTGCATAACCTGCCAGCTTAACAATGCCCCAATTTAGGGTTAAATGTATTAAGTACACATGAGAAGATTATTCCAGGATTTTGAAAAAAA